CTGTTACAATATTTAGTCTATTTGTGTTTGACAAAATCAGAGAAAACACTCAATTATCTATCTTATCTTGATGAGTTCAAAGTTTTACACCTTTGAGTTTACCCTTTTATCATGTACCAGTCTCTTCTAACCCTAAAACAATCACTATAAACAAAGCAAAATCTTCTCTGTCTCTTGTAGTGGACAAGAGCTGAACCAAGCACCCAAATAAAAAGCAAATGTGATCATTCTCTTGGAGATGTGTGAAAATAACATTGTGAGATTAAGATGGTCATAGTGTGTTCAAGGTCTTTCTAAATAAGTAAAGCTTCAGTTGAGACTTCAGTAATGAAAATTTATATAGGCATGTAATAACAATTAGGAGAGAGAGAGAGAGAGAGAGAGAGAGAGAGAGAGAGAGAGAGAGAGAGAGAACATCAATTTGAAGGAGAGTGGGAAGGAGCATATAGGAGGATTTGAACAAAGGAAATGGAACTGATAGATGCAATTAAATTATAATTTCAAAAAATAAGAATTTTAAAAAGAAAAGCCATGTGTGGATAGAGCTGTGGTGGAGATATAGTGCATGAGAAAAGAATGAATTTTAAAAGTATTTAAAGAAAAGAGAAGAAAAAGAAGATTCACAGTTGGATTAAGCAATGAGGGGCTGGTTGGTGATTTCAATAGGAGTAGAGAGGTAAGGACAAATGGAGAAAGTGAGAGAAAAGTGAGGATAGTAAGTGTCAACCAGAGGGCATCAGGGGCTGAGGGGGAAGTCCAGGTTGTTTCAGACAACACAGAGGTCATATTTATTCTACCCCCAGACTTCTCATTCCCAGACTAATAATACTTAGAAGGCTGAACTCTGTTTGGGGTCCTACTCAGTACAGCTACACTGACATGAGAGAAACAGGTTGGCAGAATCCCAGTCCTTCTTATAGAAACCTCTAAAGTAACCACACAGGCAATGGCCTCACTAGAATACTTCCACTTGCAAAGCAAACCAAGCATGAAGAGCAATATGACTAAGTCAAGATTCAATTATTAACTAAGAGTATCTGCAGAAGTGTCTTTATTTAACAGGGATATGAGATTTCATACACAGGAAAAATGTCCCAGGGGAGAGTCCACATATGAGGCAGGGAGGCCCTCAAGCCTCATGTCATCTGTGACCAAGAAAATACAAATAGAAGGCCATTGCACCCAGGAGAGGGAACAGGAAAGATGAAAGCAGGGTCAGTCATTAGTTTATTTTAGGAAAAAGAGGATGGATACAGCCAACATTGGAGACATAGACACAATTATCACACCCAATGACACTACCAGAGCTCAGGGCCTCCAAAGTCCCCTGGGGATGAAGACACTATACCAACCTCAAAATAGTTGTAGGCACCACAGAGGCTGACTTTCAAGGAGGAAGAAGGAGAGGGTAGCCTTCCCTATGCTCAGCATCTCTTGCCCTAACTGGGTGACCACTTTTACATATCCTAGGTAAGGACCACACACAATGCAATACACACTTGGGCTTTTGTCTGATAAAGCTAGGCTGCCAGAAAGAGAAAGAGAAGGCAAAAGGCAGAGCAGGGCCCACTTAGAACCCTGTGTTTGGGGGACCAATACCTGTTCCTGGTCACAGGAGAAAAGAATCCTGGAGAGTGATTTTGAGTCTTGACTGTTTTCTTTACAGATGTATGATCCAGATGTCACATCTTGGTGAGGAGAAAAATCTCAAAAGGGTATAGGGAACAGTGGGGAATTTCTTCCAGATAAAATTGCACATAACAGAGAAAAGCCGATGTATATACAAACAAACAATGCAAACATTTGATGTGTAAGGTAAGCAAATACACTGTTGTCGGGAAGACATGCCATGTGATGTGTTGTGATTATATGCTGTGTATTTCGTGCTGTGTAGGGTGAAACAATGGGTCGCATGTGGGTCTGAGAATTTCCGTGTGGCCTGCCAGGTGGTAATCATAGCTTCCATATGTCTATGACCAACATCTTTTAGGGTCCTCCTAATGGTCTCCTTCTCATGGTTTACAGACAGAGTTGCCTACACTCTACTTTTCTGTCCTACACTTGCCTGATGAATGTCTCTCTCTCTCTCTCTCTCTCTCTCTCTCTCTCTCTCTCTCTCTCTCTCTCTCTCACACACACACACACACACACACACACACACACACACACACACACACACAATGCAGGGGCGAGGTGTTGAGGATCTGGTATCTACCTCTTAGATGGCATATTGAGGCAAAATTTAGTCAGAGAATTGAGTGAAGAAGTGATCACAATGTGTCAAAGGTAACATGGAAATGGAAGGGAGGACAGACTGGCTTCCTCAGCTTTCGTTCGGAAGGAAGATTGGGATTGCTTTCAGCAAATCTTAAGGAGATTTTTAAAAAATATATATAATGCAGCAGGACACACAGACACACAAAAATGTCTACACAACCAATACTTCCATTTCTGGAAATTAACCCTAGAAAAATGTTAACAAAAGTAAATGGAGATACCACAAAGATATTGTTTACATCACATATAATCCCCACAAAATGGGACAATTTAAGCTGCAAAAGTATGCATTGAGTTTATTAAGTGTTATTGGAGAAAATCAATAGATTAATACAAGAACTGGTGTTTTTATTGTTATTGTTTGGGGTTTTGTTTTGTTTTGTTTTTTATTTTCAAGGACCATTTGGATCACTGTGTGATTTTGTGGTAAAATGCCTATAGGAAATATTGAAATGATTGGAAGAAGGCAAAATAATGTGCATACTATAGTTATAAGCATAACACTCTAAGTGTTCAGCAGAACAAAGGCTTGAGAGCGTTTACAAGAAAGGAAAAATTCAACAAAGGTGATCAAAATCACAAATTTATGCTAAATATTCCTTAAATATTTTAATTGAAAAAATAACACTTGAAATCTTTTAAAACAGAGGCTCTGTTACATGTTATCTAAGTGGATGTGGGCACTGGGAGGATCCATGATCACTGAGGTTAGATACTTCTGTTCAAACTTGCTCCATGCAAGTTCATTTTTCTAAAGTATGTGGCTTAAATACACAATTCTGGCTCTGCTACTCCACTATCTGATCTTAGGCGGGGAGTTTAAACCTAGGGGCTCTAGTTCATTTTCTACAATGACTATTAGATTAGTACTCGAGTTTGTATACAGACAACTGAGAAACCACGGAATTCCCAGCATGTAGCAATCTCTAAATGTAGGTGTTAGGCAAACTATATGGTGAAAGGACAAAGGACAGTGAAGGTTAGGTCCATGAGCAACGGCACAAACTACAACCCTCTTTCCTGAGTTAGAAAGTAAGTAAGCAAATGGTTAGACTGAACTCATATAGGATATGGCCACAGAGAATCAATGGTTGATAAACCTTAGGACCCATAGCTTCTGGAAACTGAAGACACAATGTTCTGTCTTTTCTTAACTAGTTACCTAACTTTAAATTAGTCATTTAATCTTTCTGTTCATTTAATCTGTCCCCATCTGTGTAACTGGGATTCATTAAGCCATCTTGCATATGTCTGGGGAAGACTTCACATTTCTAGTACTGTGCTAGTTAAATTTATCTCTGTAATACTTGATAACTTAGTGGCTATGAACACAGATTCTGGAGTTGGAAAGAAACTTGAGCCCAATCTTACTTACTATGTAAATGGCTTGGGCAAAGTTACTGAGGCTATCTACGATTTCATTCCCTCATCTTCAAAATGGAGAAAAAGAGCCAGGCAGTGATGGCACACACCTTTAATCTCAGTACTCAGGAGGCAGAGGCAAGTGAATCTCTGTGAGTTTGAGCCCAGCCTGGTTTACAGAGTGAGTTCCAGGACAGGCTCCAAAGCAACACAGAGAAAACCTGCCTCAAAAAAAAAGAAAGAAAGAAAGAAGGAAAACAAGAGAAAAGTAAGATTTTATACTGCATTGTATCAGTGATTTGATGAATATTAAGCCTTAGGCAAAGTACACTGTAGCAATGAGGCACCTTGGAAACATTAGCAACTTCTCCCCACCATGTTCTGCAGGATCTCACACTGGAAGTAACACTAGGAAGTCCTGGGTCTGTGTATGTATCTCATGAGAGAATGAATAAAAAAATTATCTCTTCAAAAAATATTTTTTTTCAAGTAGTTTGGGACTGTCTGGTAAAAGAGGAGTTAGAATGTCAATAAGCTGCTACATATGTGTCCAAACACACTGTAATTAAGACTTTTCCTATAGCCAGAAGAGGCCAAAGCTGGAAAGAACTGCCTTAGCCCACTACTGTTCAAACACACCAAAAAAAAAATCTTTCTAAAATGTTTTACATAAAATGTTAATGTTGTTCATAGAAATACTTAACCCTAAATGTCAATCCTGAAATGCCATGGATAAATATTTCTAAGTATAAGGAACACACATGCTGCCATGGGGATTAAACTGAAGCCTGAAGGATAAGTGGGATTTTAACCCATACTGAGTGTGCTAGGACAGTATAAAGTGTTTAGCTAATCACAAGGACTTAGATGAAAAGAAAGGAATCGGGGCAGGTGTCAGAATCCCTAATTATGATGTGTCCATGCTGTGACGTAACAAATATTCACATTATTACAGATCATACTCAGTCCTCGGAAGACTGTGATGATCATTAGACACTACCTTGGGACCGTCCCTATCGTGGCCATTTGAGTTTCAGTGTGTTGAGTACAAACGGCACAACAACTGCTTCACTTAAAGCACAAAGTGGGGTATCTCCATGTGGAAGGCGAGACAGAGAGAGTGAACATGGACGATATACAGGCTTTGGAGTCAAAAGGCAGGGATCAAATCACAGCCATGCTATTTCCTCATTATTTGTTCAGACGAGTTTAATCTCTGAGATCCAAGGCAGGCCCATCTGAAAACGGAAGACACCAGCTGTCTTGGATTTGAGGAGGAGCTGTGTGGAAAGTATTTGACTGCATTACAGAAATGTTATTTCTCTTTCCTAGCTGTGCAAAGCTGTGCTCTGTCTGGAGCGATGGCTGAGGAAAACCAAACTGCAACTCCTGAGTTCCTCCTGTTGGGGTTCTCTGACCTCAGAGCCCTTCGAGGGCCACTGTTCTGGTTGGTGCTTCTGGTCTACCTGATAACTTTGCTGGGCAACTCACTGATCATCTTTCTTACGCAAGCCAGCCCTGTGCTGCACTCCCCCATGTACTTCTTCCTACGCCATCTCTCTGTAGTAGAGCTCCTCTACACCACCGACATTGTGCCCAGAATCCTGGCTGATCTGACCTCCTCTCACCCCCAGACCATTTCCTTCTGGAGCTGTGCAGCCCAGATGTATTTCTTCATTGTCCTGGGCATCTCAGAGTGCTGCCTACTCACAGCCATGGCCTACGACCGTTATGCAGCCATCTGTCAGCCCCTGCACTACTCCACCCTAATGAACCAGCGGGCCTGTGCAGCCATGGTGGGAACCTCATGGATCATGGGCATCATCACAGCTACTACCCATTCCTCCCTCATCTTCACTCTGCCTTTCCCCAGACACCCCATCATTCCACACTTCCTCTGTGACATCCTCCCAGTACTGAGGCTGGCAAGTGCTGGGAAGCACAGGAGCGAAATTTCCGTGATGACAGCCACTGTGGTCTTCATCATGATCCCCTTCTCTCTGATAGTCACTTCTTATGCCCGCATCCTGGGAGCCATCCTGGCCATGGCTTCCACCCAGAGCCGCCGCAAGGTCTTCTCTACCTGCTCCTCCCACTTGCTTGTGGTCTCCCTCTTCTTTGGAACGGCCAGTATCACATACATCCGGCCCCGAGCAGGCTCTTCTGTCACCACAGACCGCATCCTTAGTCTCTTCTACACAGTTGTCACACCCATGCTCAACCCCATCATCTACACTCTCCGTAACAAAGAGGTAACGGGAGCCCTGAAACACATGATGAGGAGGTGGGTTCCCTAACCCTGAGGGGAACCGGAGTGTTCCTCTCATTCACTGTTCCTCCTCCCAGCATTCGGGTGTTCAACTTAAACTTCAGCCTAATAGAATCCTTAAAGAAACCTCAAATAAGTAAGTTCTCTTGGTAGAAAGTGCTGGAATTGAGACACAGATATATATCTTATTTCTTACTCCATACCCCAGATACTCTCTCAGAGCAGGTGTTACTAGGAAACAGCAGAATGGAAGAGATCCTTGACTTGGGAAAAGAACATCCTCTAGATTGTCCCGTACCCTGGGCAAGGTGCCAGAGAATCATGTAAGTCGTGAAGGCAGGTTTCTATGAACTTGACCTCCAATGGACCCCTAGAACCTGGAGGAATTAACCTGCTTTGGGTTACATTTCTTCTACTTGTGTGAGCCTTTGTCTGCTTAGTGATACATTTGCTCTGGGGTCTCCTTCAAGAGGGTATCTGAGGGTACTATCACACAATTCCCCTCCCAAGATAACACTGTGAAGGAAGTCATGTTAGTCTAATATGAGACTCTGGAGTTGGGGAAACCTTTTTCCAGGAGACCCTTCCAACAGCCCTTCTGCTTCACAGACATTCCTCCTCTGGAGGAATAACAACCACAGGAATCTTCTGTATTCCCACCTGTCTCCTCCTCTAAGTCCATTTCCATAGAACCTCCTGTTCCCACTAAATCTTCTTATAACTCTGTGTCTTTTCAAAAGCAATTATTTCAGAAATTTTTCATACACGTCTTACCCACCATGTCCACCTAGCAAGTTCCCATTCATCCTGTAATGCTCAACTCAATTAATTCATCCTTGAAATTTGCTGCCTAAACACATCTCGTTACTACATTATGCCACAACTATTATAAACCTTTTGCAAAAATTGTAATTATTTTTATAGTTTTTCATTTACTGTATATAGCAAGTGCTAATATATGAATGGCACTTAAAGGAAAACTGAAATGGCTTTTAATTTAGTAAATTTAGTACATTCTTTTACTTTATAGTTATAAGAAAATAAAATACACAACAATAGAGAAGTCTTTTGATGTTGATTTTATATAAGACTTCCCAAAAACTTGCTTTTGTGAACATAAATTTTGTTCTTGAAATTTTTAAAACATTGCTTCTTTGGTATATCTCTTGGTATATACCTAAAGGATTAGGTCAGCATACCCCAAAGAGATACATGTACACATGTTTATTGTGATACTATTCATAATAGCTAAGAATCAATTGAAGAATCCATCAACAGATGAATAGATATAGAAAATGTGGTGTATATACACAATGGAGCTTTACTCAAACATAAAGAATAAAATTAAGCCATTTGGAGGATAATGGATATTACTGGGGATCATTATGTTAAGGAAGATAAGCAAAATTCAGATAAATATACTTTCTCTCACATACAGAATACATGTACTTTAGATGTAAGACACTAAAATAGAGGTAGGACCATTTGGAAGGAGAAAATGTACCATCAGGTGGGGGAGAGAACAGACAGTAATGGGAGGAGTAATATGATCAAAGTACATTATATTCATGTATAAAAATGTGATAGTGAAAACCCACTGTTTCATACAAAAATACGGTAATTAAAAAGAAGTAAAACATGTTAAGAGAAAAGTTTAAATGCATTTAAAGTATAAGAAAGATTTTCAAGGTCTAGGAAGCAGAAGCTTACTTCAGAAGCTGCAAAGAGTATTCACGAGTATCATGAGTCACTACCATCATTTGCTCTTGTATTCTGGATGCTTCTCTTGATTCATATATATTTTTAATATACCAGAATTTTTGTTTCCTTCTTTCCATAAAAGATTATCTTCTGGCACATAAATGGTACAGTTCCCTGCAGACTCCAACTCATTTTTAAATAGTTCTTGCTTTTAATTTTATATTTGATGGTAGTTATTGAGACATAGTTGATATATAAGAAGCTGTGTTTTAAGGCACATAATCATCCATGAACCCATCATCACAATCAAGTTGATAAAAAATATCCAACAGCTCCAAACCACTGCCTGTCTCCCAATTATCTTTGTTTTGTAATTTAGAAAGAAGGTTTAACACGAAATCTACGCTTACAAAACATTAAGTGAACCACATACTATTGCCAACTATGAGGATACTGTTTTTGTTTTGGGTTTTTTTTTTTTGGTTTTTTGTTGTTGTTGTTGTTGTTGTTGTTTTTCTTTTTCCAGGACAGGGTTTCTCTGTGTAGTTTTGTGCCTTTCCTGGAACTTACTCTGTAGCCCAGGCTGGTCTCGAACTCACAGAGATCCACCTGGCTCTGCCTCCCGAGTGCTGGGATTGAAGGTGTGCACCACCACTGCCCAGCAAGGATACTGTTATGCTGTAGATCTTTAGGATTTATTCAACTTGATAACTAAAATGATGCAATCATTGGCCAAAAACTTCCAGTTTCTCTAATTCCTCACATCTGACAATTAGCATTCTACCCTCTGTTCTGAGCTGGATTACAGTGACTCCTACATTATTTATCATTCTATGACCTAATATTTTGGTTTAGAAGTGTCTTCCAAATTCATTTATGTGTTACATATGTCAAGATTTCCTGATAACATAAAGTTGAATAATATTACATTTTATATATTTCATGCATTTTCTTTTTAAATTATTTCTTTATTCACTAATCTTCAGGTAGACATTTAGATAATTTATGTCTTCCAGTATAAATGATGCAAATTATGTGAGTATAAAAATGCTTAGTGAAGGTCATTTTTTCTGTTCTTTTGTAAATATATCCAAAGTGGAATTTCTGGGTCATATAGTAGTTCTGTTTTTAGTGTTTTCAGGAACCGTTGTGCTGTTCTCTGTAATGATGGAACCACTTTACCTTCCCATTAGCCATGTATTTGTTGTTATTGTTGCTGTTTGTTGTTATCATTATTGTCACTGAGACAAAGTCGAACTGTACCTTCAGACTGGCTTATGATCCTTCAGCATCAGCCTCCTCAGAGCTGAGATTACAGGCCTGAGCACTGTACCCCCTGTGTATTTGGTTTGCATTTTCCCAATGATAAGAGACGTTGAGAAACTGTCCCCAAGCAAGGTGACTCTCTGAGTATATTCAGGTCCACTTCCTGCTTTATCAGTTGAGATATTTTATCCTTTTAAATTGGTAGGGTCCCTTGAATATTTTGTAAATTAACTACTTACCTACTATGTTTATGAGTATTTTCTTGATCCCATGAGTTGACTTACTCACTATTGTTTCCTTTGCTACACAGAATCTTTTCAGTTTGTGGCTTTCTCAATTGTCTATTTTTGCTGAGCTTATATATAAAACCAGCAAAACACTAGACACTTCATTTTATGAAGATTTCTGTGTCTATTTTTCCCTAGGAATTTCTGTTTATGTGCTAGGTTTAAGTCTTTAATCTATTTTACTTGCTTCCACAGAAAGGGACTGTATAGAGATAGGCTTTGCACCCTGACTCAACGCTCTTTTCTTCACATTTATACATCCCTTGTTTTGTACCTAATTTTAATAGATTATATTATTTATTGATTCTGCTTATATATATTTATTAGTTTTATTTTTGTGTAAAATATAAGGTAAATTGCTGTGGAACAACTTTTGTACACTTATGTATTACTCTCATTGCTTAATAAAGAGTTGACTGGCCTATAGCTGGGCAGGAAGAGACTGGGCAGGAGAGTCAGACTTGGAAGACACTGGGAAGAAGGAGGGTGGAGTCTAAAGACACAGAGGAAGCAGGATGTATAGAAACTGAAGTAACAAGCCATGAGCCACGTGGTAAAACCTAGATAAGAAATATGGGTTAATTTAAGTTGTAAGAGCTAGTTAGTAACAAGCCTAAGCAATTGGCCAAATATTTATAATTAATATTAAGTCTCTGTGTGGTTATTTGGGAGCTGACCAGCAGTCCCAACAAAAAACTCTTCCTACAGTAAATATCCAATTTGATTTCTTTGAATGTGAATATCGTTTTCTCAATTCTACTTACCATAGAAACTAACCCTTCTCATTGTGGATTCTTGGTAACTTGTGAAAGATCAGTTTCCTGTGCATTCATAAACTTATTTATGTGTTCTCCAGTCTATACAATTGGTTTACATATTGCTCTCTATACTAATACCATACTGTGCTGAGTATAGTAGCTTTCACTTATACTTTGAAATCAGGAAGTCTAATATCCCCAACTGTGTTATTCTTTCTCAAGATTGATTTAAATATTCAAATTTTGTGGTCATATTTTGTGTTCTAACAAATAAAACTTATCTGAGGATGAGAACAGAGCTAGTCACTAGATTAGACATAGAGGCCAGACAATGGTGACACGCACCCTTAATCCTATCACTGGGAGGCAGAAATCCATCTGGATCTCTGTGAGTTCAAGGCCACACTGGAAACAGCCAGGCAGTGGTGGCACACACCTTTAATCCCAGGACTTGAGATCTCATATCTTTGCTAGGGAAGGGCATATGACTTTAATTCCAGGAAGTGATGGCAGGAAGCAGAAAGGTACATAAGGTGTGAGGACCAGGAACTAGAAGCTTTTAGCAGCAGTTCAACTGAGACCCTCAGCAGTGAGGACTCAGAGGCTTTCAGTATGAGGATTTATGGAAACAGGGTCAACTGAGGAGTTGGTGAGGTTGGCTGTGATCTTTCTCTGATCTTTCAGTTTACACCCCAATATCTGGCTCCAGGTTTTTCATTAATAAGACCATTTAGCAATTCATCTTACAAAACTTTGGCAGTCTATACCATTTTTTCCTTCTATGAAAAATATTATTCAAATTTTGGCAGGAATTGCACTTAATCTATAAAATACATTGCATAAAATGGACATTGAAACATTAAGTCAAGTCCATCTATTTCTTTTCTAATTCACTCATCAAAAGTTTAACCAACAAATCTTTCATCTTCTTATTTAAATTCATTTTATTATATTAATATTATTGTAAATGAGATCACGTACTTGATTTTTTACTAAGTGTTTGCTTTTGTATGTTG